CAGATACTTTGGCAGAATAATAGTGGTCGATATCGAAGCGGTAACCCAAGATCGTCGTTCTCTCGTTGATGCTAGATGGCACCGGCGACAATCTGCGTTGGAGCAGCCGTTAGCTGGTCACGTGCAGCACCAGAACCGCAGGGGGCCGTGCGTCGAGTCACCCGGGGTCACGTGTGAGTTGACGACGGCACCCAAAGGGGAGATCGGTTTGATCTGGGAGACGGCAGCATTTCTTCTTGCTTGACTATATATCTTTCAGGAAAATCTTGCAACGGGCGTTTGATTGACAAAAAAATCGCAACGCTATGAGCGACACAGCTACATGACGTCTACACCCAATAAGCTGCATGGCAGGAACAGCAGTCAGCATGAACAAATTGGCATGATATCCCTGCGCTCTGGGTCCGGCCGGAAGAGAGCTCCATCAAAATGACAGCACTCGGACAAAAGCATTCAGAGTGCCTTGATCGGACAACGGCAGCTTGGCTTTCTGGCTAAGCAAGCACATCAAAAGCCAGCAGATTGTTTCGAGCATGTCTCGATCTTCCGTTCCAAGCTCGTACCAGCTTGACATGTTGGCAGCAGCTCGAGATTGGCGAGAAGACGAATGTGACCCCTGCTTCATCCTACCCGCGACCAACATGTGAACTTGGCCAGATCAAGGGGCCTTGGCATTGGATCAAGTTGATGACCAGAAGCTTGAGCCTCGTCCATGCACAAGCGTGTTTTCAGCTACGTACTACAACCAACTTTCGGGCGTTATGCACCTTCTGGGTCTGGCCAAGCCAAGCCAACCCCAGATGACCAGACCGGCCGTTTGGTTGGTGACCATGGCCTTACAAGCGGATCCAGCACAGACAATTGCTCGAAATACTCCATGTCGAATCGACTACATTCATGGTTCATACCGAACTCGCATCTACTCAGGGCTGACGTCCCTCAGAACATGTATAGAATCGGCATCATTGTGAGGATCGAGCCCCAGTTATTGGGCATCATCTTCTTAGGCGTCTACTTGGTGCCGATAAAGAGGATAGAGTGCAACTCCTGGTAACTACAGAGTTAGACGAATGAAGTAAAAGCGCACGGCATAGTCATCTCCTTTCTGGTTGGTCCGAGTATGACTGACGAATTCTGACCACGGTCGTGGAGCCAGCGGCCCAGCCACTGCAGCCCCCAGAGGCCCAATATGGACCAACGATGAGTCTCGATAGCACGCTGAGGCGTGTGATGATGGACATTCAATGAATTACAGCTATGAATGTGAAATTGTTAGCCCTAGATTTTGAATCAACTAGTACTTGCGCAACGTCACCAGTTCTTTCTCTTCTCTTTCTTCTCCTTCTCTCTCTTTTTTTATTAGAGGTTCCAGACCCGTCAATTGTGCTCTAACGCAAAACGCGCATATTATAGAGTATAATAGTTGCCCATCAGTGATAACGTCTTTGCCCTCGTATCACAGTGGTAGTGAGTGTCACTCGTAATGACAAGGTCGTCTGTTCGATCCAGGCCGCGGGCAAATGCAGGCTTCTATTTTCCCTTTTTTTTTTGTGCCGCTCTTTCCGTTCATCATTGGAACTCAGGTTTCAAATGAATAATGGCCCCATTCCCCTGTGCAAGAATACTTTTGTTTTGCCGGTCAATTTTTGCCGGTCAAGAACGTGTAGAGCAGGGTTACAGGATGAGGAGTAAGAAACGAGGGCCAATTCCAAGGACATGAAACGCAATTGCAACTTGACATGGGAAAGCAAAGAAGCCGGCTATTACATCTCGGTTGGGCAGACGAAGATTATTTTCATCACGCTTAGAGAGTCTCGTGCAATAAATAACGGGTATCGTAAATACGATCTTCCTCACATCTAATTTTGCTTGGAGCAGGTGTGCATTTTTCATCGTGCAATATAATATACCTCGGTAGGTTGTGCATATACAAGATCAGGTCATAAAGGGCGTGCCTACCGAAAACATAGGCATCGCTGCCTGTTCATTCATGTTCCCAGAGTGTAAAGCACCAGACGCAGGGGATCCACACAGCAGTGCCTTCCACGAAACGGCTTTCGCGGGGTTGGCAAAGCTTAACCACAGCGAGCACTCGCGGGTCCCACTTTTCGGTGGCCCTTTGCGGCAAGCTCCATGCAAGTGCCACACAGTAATACTACTAGCAGACCTCAACTAACAACTTGAAGTCAGGCACGCCCACCATTCAGGTAGCCTGCTTTATTAACTCAACCAGACGTTCTTGTCCAAGTCGACTATCGCCGCTGCTCTCTTGGACCGCCCGGCAGCGCCGAGCACCAGGTTTGAATTGGTCCAGCTTCTCTTACAAGGCCAGCAACCTCTTGATCCACCGCTGTGGGAAGTGGTCTGGTGGTCCATGGGTCAAGTGGTTGGTTGAGTGGGAATAGACACTTTGACTTGACGCTCCTAGTTACGCTTGGACTGCGACGGATCCTCACCTCTGGCGAGGCATTTCGATTCTGTCGTACTCCGTACGTACGGCTCAACGGGCAAGCAGACCCCTGCACTGAGACACCAGGTCGCCCTTTGACGAGGTAGCCAATCTCGGCCGGGGCCATGAGCTTCAATGTTGCATTTCTCAACACGGCCGGCATGACGCCTGTGCCCATGCCTGGCCAGCACCAGACGTCTCGACAACCCAAGAAACAGCCGCGACACTCAAAGCCAGGCCAAGCGTCTCGCCGCTCGGGCTCAGCATCGCCTTCGAGCCGTCACAAGTCGAAACCCAACCGCCGCCTAGGCCACGCGCGCACGTCGAGCGGGAGCCGGGCGAGTTGCTCTTCGCACGAAACCGCCCTGATAGCGGACCGCCCCGCTGTGGCCGCGGGGCACAACTCCGCAGCCGCCCATTTGAACTCCAACTCGGCCAACTCTGCCAACTCCCAGACGCACCGCTCGTTTCACCCCCCATCGGCCTTCATTTCTTCTTCGACATCTCCCGTGGGCGCTCCCACCAAGGCCAGCTCTCTCAACCCGCCCCGTCATCGCCATCGGCACACAGCAGATGGTCCGCATGGAGTCGACGTAAGCAATGCCTCCCTCCCCTCAGCCTGCGCTCCGTGCCGGATGCTTCATTGCGCCTCCTATCCTAACAATCGCCCACAGATGAACTTCTCCGCCCTCAGTGCTGAGTCGGTATCATCCGCCAGCGGCACGGCATCCCTCTCGGCTCGCACCACCATGACCTTGGACAACCAAGGGCCGGGAGATAATTTGTTGTTGTCGAGGCCATTCATCCAGCGGAATGGGCGGACATACCTCAACGACACTTCCCTTCCGTACCCCCTACCGTCAGACCTAACCGAGCTGCACCGCCAGTCGCTGCGGACGCTCCTCCTCATCCAGCTGTTCGGGGCCCCGGTATGCTCACCTGCTCTTACCAAGAAGCCCCCACAGCGCGTGCTTGAGGTTGGGTGCGGCTCCGGGTTCTGGAGTATGATGTGCCACAGGTACTTCAAGGAGAGGGGCCACGGCAGCATCTGCTTCACCGGCATTGACATTGCCCCCCTTTCGCCAGGAAGCGCCGACCTGACAGAGGATGCCACGCAACCCGACCCGGACATGAGGTGGAAATTTGTCAATCACGACCTTCGCCAATTGCCTTGGCCGGTGCCGTCGGAAGAGTACGATTTGGTCATGGTCAAGGATATGAGCCTGGCCACAACCAACGTACAAAATCAGCACTTCATCGACGAATATTTGCGATTACTACGACCGGGAGGCACGCTGGAAATTTGGGAGTCTGATCATCTTATTCGCATGCTCAGGCCGCACGTGCCCGGGTCCGCTGCCACCGCCGACGATGCCGAGGAGCAGGAAGCCGCTTCGAGTCTCGGCGCATACGTCATGTCCTCCAACACGCCGCTATCCGCGCCTCTCAACAATTTTCTTGTCGAGTACAACACTTGGCTGACGCGGGCTCTGGAGAATCGCGACCTAAGTGCCGTGCCGTGTACTTTGATACGACCGATACTCCTTCAAGAATCTGAAACTGTCACAGATGTCAAGTCGAGGCGGCTAGCAATCCCCTTGAGTGAAGTGCGCTGGGAACGTGAGGGCGTTGGCGGCGTCGTGACTCGAGATGGCAAGCAAACGGGCGAAGGGAGAGGAAAGGACCAGAAGCCAGAGCGCACGCTGACAGCGGGCCAGATTGCTCTACGAAAAACGGCACTGTTAACGGTTGTTCAACAAGTGCAGGCACTTGAGCCAATTTTGAGGGAAGTGAGTGGGAAGAGCCAGGATGAGTGGGACGTGTGGTTGGGCAAAATGATGAGTGATTTAATGAGCGAGAGCGGCGCAAGCTGGGGGGAGTGTCTCGAGGTTGGAGCGTGGTGGGCAAGAAAGAGAAAGAGAGGCCACGATGTGTGAAGTCGGAGGGGAACGAGCGGAAGAAAAGAGTAATGCGGCATCTAAGTAGTCATGCCTTGTATGCAGGGGTTACATCATTTTTTCTTTTTCTTTTATTCCCATCGGCGCCAGCACGCCATGTAGGGAGTGATATGGGGATATTTTGGCCAATTATTTCGTGTTCCAAATCTTGTCTTGGACAATGAACCATTTCAACCAGCGAAGCGCCCACAGTTCGTTTGAACAAACGGATGATGAGCAATGTCTTTTTATTCTTTTCCTCATGTGTCGATACCATTCAGAGTCCAAGATGGACTCGCCATATATATACTTGATTTCTATCGTGTGGTAGTACACAATCTCGTACATCAACTATGCGCCCACATCATACCGCTTCCTTAGTGTGCGGTACCGCTTGAGGTAATACCTATACGCGTGCCTCGTTAGCGGAATTATACGTTGGCCGTAAATGCATTCCTATTTTGGAGGCCCAAAAAGCCCCAGAGTAGCGAATGTTATATACATATAATATGGGGTGTAGATGAAAAACAGAGACCGCACGGATGCGGTAGGATAGAGCATGGACTACAATGAGGATAGAGCTTACAATGCCTCTATTTCTATCCATTGAAAGGTTAGCTGCGGTGATATCGAATAGACGCAAAAAAGAAAAAGAGAGGACCAATAGACGCACCTTTTTTGACGTATTCTGCTTGCGCAATGCCAGCCCGAATCTTGTCCTCGCTGCGCTCGGCGGCGCGAGACATGAATGCCTTGTGTAGGCGCGGCTGAAAATACCGGTAGCCGAGGGGGTATTCCCTGCCAAGATATAGGAGCTCTGTGGGAACCAATCAGTCAGTTGCATCTTGCGTTTGGTCACGATGATACTGCGTGTACCGGACTCTAGCTTGTAGCCGGGGCGGGGGCGACGCCGAGTCTCGTGCCCGAAATTGTTCTCCTGCATGGCTGTCCGATAAAGTCGGTAGGGCGGATACGTACCCTTGTAGATGGCAATGACTTGCCTTCTCAGCTCGGGATTAGGCTGCGCCATTGTCGTGATGTGTGCACCGGGCAGCGCATACCGTTCCCAGCGCAGACGGGCAGGACGATGGAGTGGTGAAGCGTCGACTGATGCAGTACCAACGGAGCTGGGAAGCGTGGGGGGCAGCATGGTCAGGACTAGGACAGCAGCTGCAGGGCTGCGTCGGCCCCACAATTTCCGGGACCCATCAATCAATGCCTTCCGACTACTATCACGACATCCATCAACTGTCGGCATCTTAACGACATGGCCGGGCTGTTGCTGCGAATCCCATACAAGAGGCAGTTTGGCTCCTAGGGGGCCATCGTGTCCAAGACACGGCTCGCGCCGGCTCTACGGGTCCTCCAGACCCTGCAGCGATACCCCGTCATCCGACCACGGCGCCTGCCCGACGTGCCTGTAGGGTCAAGTGCGTCGCGCGTCTCGCCGCAGGCCGCACGGCAAAGCATGCTTCAATGTTGGCTTGTATCGAGGGGCAGGGAAGAGCGGTTCCGCCGCTGGGACATGATGGACTGGACTGGACAAGAGGAGCGGCTTGGGGGCGGGGCCAGGAGGAGAGATTGGATGAAGCTGGAGCTGAAGAAGGGACATTGGGGTTTGGGCACGCAATGTCGAAACATTTGACGTCTTCTTCCCGGCGGTCCTATTACTGGGTTCGCCCGCACACCACACGGCGATGCCAAAACGGCATGTAGCTGGCCATGGCACAAAATGGTGGTGGGCACATCATGTTCCAAGTGCCGAAGCGGGGATTTCCTCAAAACGCAAATGTGGGGTAACTTGTACATACAAACGACGGCATGGAGGAAGGCTTCAAGTTTTACAGCTCTGTTCCACATTCAATGCAAGTGTTGAGCGTCCAATGCCCAGGGCATGGCTTGCGGGCGACGTGAACTCTGGTATATCCCGCACGCGAGGGCACCAAAAAGGCCATGACGAGCGCGATATTTGGGCCTTGGAGCGGTCAGCCTGGTGAGGGGCCCCCCTCAGAGACCACGAGGGATGCAGAAATTTTCGACGCGTCGACGAGTCGGACCATGTACGGCTCCAGATGCAGATGCTTGGTGACGATGTCTGCACACCTTGTGCGCCAACAACCAGAGTCGGCAAGCCACAGGGCGGGAATATCTTCCCCGCCCGCCAGCGTCCGGCCGAGAAGCGGCACTGGGCTTTTGTGGGATATAACCGGACGGCACCATTGGCTGGGTTTCTGGCTGCGCAGTTGGGGTTTGGAAATATTGACTAGTAGTAGCCGAACTTTGCGGTCAGATGGATGACCCGTGTGGCCCTGGTGCGAATGCTGAAGCTGAAATCCAATTCGTGAATCGGCTTGGCAACATTGCATGCAGGAAATTTTGCTCTGGCGATTTGAAGGTCGATGGACGTCGGCCGAGGGCCCGCCAATTTGTTCAGATGAATCGACATTGATTGTGCCAGGCGTGTCAAGGCAGAGGGGGAAGCAGGGATCCAGTGGGCAAACGGGCAGACGGGCAAACAGGGTTGCATGAATTGATGACGTTGGATGTTGGCCCTCCTGAAGATGATTGCCCTCGCTGCTCAGAAAGGGTCAATGTCATGATGGTTGAAGTTCGACTCGTCAGCCCACCTTGTGTCGATTCTGGAGTCGGTTGTTTCCGAGTCAAAAACCGCCCCGGAACTGTCTTGTACAGTCACAAGCTTAGACGAGAAAGCCGACTGAACTGACTGAACGCCGAACGGGCACCTGGGGAAGAAACATGGAAGCCACTCCGGCTGTGTCGGGTGGGAAAAGCTTAAACGACGCCACGATTCCCCATGGCTGCCGCGTGTTTGGCAGCAAGAACAGCATAAGCATGCCCTGGTTGATGACGCGGTCTGTGTATTATGTTTTGAAACACTCTGCCTCGTACACATGTCCATGTGTGGTGCATGACAGCAGAGCGCCTGGCGGACCGAGTCGAGACTCTCTCGCCAGCAACATTTAGACTCCAGCATTGAGGGCGATCATGGAGATCATTTGTGTCCGCAAATGTTCCCCATGCTCGAGTGTCTCACCATTCCAACGAGGGCGTATGTACTATCCCCGCAAAGGCTGCAAGTCCAATGACGGAGTGCAAGACAGATGAGTTGGCCCCCCTCGCTCCATATCGAGTGCCTGCTTGATGCGAACATTGAACATAGCAGCCTTGAGCCATTAGCATTCAATGGTCTAGAGCAGCACCATTGGCGTTAGAGCCGGGACCATTTCGTCTCCAGCTGCGAGTGTCGGTGCCGCCTCTGTATGTTATTTGTGCGCGCAATGGACTGAATGGCGTCACTGTAATTGCCGCAATGAGCTTATAATAGTAGGCGAGCTTCAGTCGACGTCTTGGCACAGAGATGGTTGCCAGATCCGATGCCAGATTCACACGCATGCTGGTGCCATGACCACAAAGCCAAAGGGATAAAGACTTCCATCTTGTTCCTAGCCGCCACAGGTACCTACTAGGTACATCAATTGATTGATGCGTTACGACTTGCCTCCGGCGCAACCGACCCGATTGACTCCTTGCCCATGCCCATGCCCACAGCTGCCTCAGGGCCCCAGTGCTGTCGTCCCACATGCGCCAGGCATGACGGACTTGTCATTTTAACATTGCAGACCGTTGGCCTAGCGCTGCCCGCACCACCAACTTGGAACGCTTAATGTTGGCGGGTTGGCGGGCCCAAGTGCCAAAGCGGCTCAAGTCTGGTGCATGTGCCAGGCGTGTGCTGACTTGCTGGCCTGCCCCGGCCTGCCTTAGCGCCAATTCTCAACTGGCTGGCAACTTGGCTCACTGTAGTGCTAGCACCTGGCCCACTGGCCCACCGGCCTCGTCCACTGCGCTGGTCTCAGTACATGCATCCACCGGACCCGTGCCCTGTGCCCTGTGCCGCGCTCCAGTGCTGCTCCCTGCCCCTTCCGTAACTGGTCAACCAGACTGGTTCCTGCCGGGTACCAGACAGGTCCCATGTTTTTACAAAGTACTCAAGTGCTACTAAAGTACGCGCTTGAGGCTCCCTGTTCCTTGCTCCATGTGAACCGTCCTGCCATCTAAAAACTGGAACCCGGCTATGTCTGGAAGTAATGAGTGACCCATCCAGCCTATTTTTTTCACCTGTTTCTTCGTCTCACTGCCGAGCCGAAAATCTCACTTCTACCCACCAACCATTCTCTCCTTCAACCAAAGACATCGTCAACCTTCGTCTTGGTCGCTGGTGTCCTGATCACCCGGCTTTCCGCCAGCACTGACGATTTCTACCATTTCCCGCCCCTTCCCGTGCCCACACCGGCCATTGTCTTTATTTCTACCGGCTGGCCCTCTTGTATTCCTTGGCATCACACGCTTGCGCACGTAATAAATAGGCCCTCCAGGCGTCGTTGCGGACCCCGGTTCATCCACGAATCGAAATCGAAGCGATCGAACCCGCCCTTGCCCTGCCCGCCACCACGAGCAGCAGCAGAAGCTTCTTTTTCATCTCCTCCACATCTACATACTGCAATCAGGCCACGGCGGTCAATACTTTTTTTCCCCCCTTTGCTCCTTCTCTTCCTGCTGGTGTCTGTCTGCCCGCCGTGTCCTTGACCAAGGTTGCTGGGCTGCAGGACACGTGCAGGACCAACTCCCAAGAAGCCTTCGCATGCCTCGAGCGTCCGGCCCGGGCAAGCGACAACAAGGCGCCTCCTCAGGCCACCGCGATTCGAAGCACGACAATGGGCTTGTGAGCCCTGCAAAGCGCAACGCTGGTAGAAAGAGTCATGGCCACCAACTCGACGGCTCTGCGAGACCCCCCGACCACAGCGCAGGCCACGCAGGGCCGTCACCATCGCCGCCTCTTCTTCCCTTGCATGCCACCGCCCATCCCCATGCATCGTCGTCCAAGAGCAACTCTGATGCCGCCATCGACACCCGGTCCGCTGATTTCACGAGAAGAGGCTCGCTAGGTACCTTCTCCGAAACCTCGTCCGACTCGTGCCCGTCCCAGGCCGGCGCCAACGGCAATACCCCGATCGAACCAGGCCACCGCCAGATCGACCTCAATGCCATGAAAAATGTCGACGTCCACAAGGATTCAGGCCCTCTGGAAATGGCCGTCACTGTCGTCAAGTCCCTGCCTATGCAGGACACTCTGGCCATTCTGATCATCCTCATGCACGTCCCGCATTTGTCTCTGTCTCTCATCTACGCCTTCTTCGCCTTGGTCACCTTTGTGCCTCCTGTTACCACCCGGACTGGCATGAATATCAATCTGGCCGAGATCCTGGACAGCCACTCCCATACTCTGAATTTCGTCACTCTACTGTGCATCGACTTCTTCTTCTTTTTGATATGGGTGTTCTTGTGGCAGCCCATACAGGACGGTATCCTGGAATTCGCCAAACCAGTCATTGCCATCACTCTCGGGGGCGGTACCAATGCCAAAGACGGCACCTCGAGAGGTGTCACCACGTGTTTTACCTGGATATTGCTTCATCAAATTATCCGTGCCACCAGGTCCCACTGGGCAAAGCTGGCCCGACACCTTCCAGAGAACTGGCCTTTGCCCACCCTGCTTACCCAGTCACTCGAACCCAGGTCTGTGGCGTATGATAAGAGAAGCACGCACGGATGGATTCAAAGTATATTGGCCATGCATATTCTCACACAGGGCATTGTTCGATATGTGCGCGAATGGTATTTGAAACGCGAAAAGTACAATGCGGCATCCGGCTTGAGCGACCCTGAAGCCGGAAAGTCGTCCTCTCTCGGCAACTCCTCCGGGTCGCTTGGCGGCGGTCACCAGAATAGCTCCCAATCGTTGGAATCGAGCAATGACGCTGGCCTCGCAGGCGCAGATGCCGATGCTGGTGTGCCTCACCCCCCAACCTCGACAAACCTGACCACGACAAAGAAACGGCGGAAGCAAAACGCCCAAGTCCGTCTGCAACAGCCGTTATGGGCCGCCGTCGCCAGCACCAAGATTGTGGTCATGAAGGAAATGGAATTGTCAAAGTCAGTCCGGCCAGACGGAATTGTGAACATCCATACCAACGAAGGCACAACGTTTGAAAAGAAAGACAGGCAAATATGGATATCATACATTGGCAGTGACGAAGTATGCTTTAACACGAGTTATTTTTCCGATTCTAAAACAGACATACCGCAGGAACCGATGAAGTCTAACGGGCACGTCAAGACAACCCGGCCGTCCGGGGTAGATTCATCTAAACCATTTTACGTAAGGATAAACAATGCTTTTTGGCAGCCTACCCGCATATTTCCAATTGACGAGGTGGACGAGGACGACGAAGACAAGGATGGCAAGCGGGGCAAGCGCATTCGGTGGACAGGCGACATATATGGACTGCGACCAGCGTCCAAGTATGTCTGCGAGTTTGTCGACGTGGAAACTGGCGCCGTCATATTTTCCACCAGCATACGCACCGTCAAGGAACTTCTACGAGAAGACGACCCGCTATCGCCGGTATTCCCCCCGAGTCAGCAACCTCTTCGACCAGACTCCCCGGCAACGATTCTGCGAACATCCATTGCGGCCTCGGAGGCGAAGCTCGCCGAAGAAAAGTCTCGCCTCAGGACTTTGCGCAAGGATCTAAAAATCAAGATCAATGCCGTGAGAAAGGAGAATGAACTTGTCGACAACCAGCTTTCCTCGGCAGGCAACAGCGATGAAAAGCACAAGCAGAAAATCCGTCAGCAAGAGACTCAAAAGGCCCAAGCGGAACGCGATACTGAATCCCTGACAGGGGAGCTCAAGAACTTTGACACGGCACCAGAACTCTCGGAGCGCAAGAAGAAGATGGAAAGGACGTATGCAGCCGAGAAGAAGACGTTTGATGCCGAGCAAAAGGAGTTCAAGAAGCACAAGTCTTCTCTGGACGCAGAGGTCAAGACCAAGGAGCTTGAAATGTCCAACCTGAACACTCGACGAAACAAGATAGCGACACGCATTTCCAGAGTGGAAACAGAGCTGAACCACATCACAGACGCCAACAATCGTGGCCTTGGGGAGGCCGAGCGTCGCAACCAACAGCGGGCACTCTGGTTGAGCCATGCGGCTTCGATCGAGCACAACATCAGCGAACGTCTTAGCATGGTCCACGGCAACAATAGGGCCAAGATGAGGCAATATCAACTCTTACAGGGCCAGACTCAAGCATATAGTGTGTACTTGAACTCGGCCAACGGCATGCCGGGGGATGACGGCCCTACGAGTGGTGCGCAGCCGGCAACGTGGAATCCGAACCCTGTCGTGGCACCAAACTATCCTCCGGGAATGTGGCCAGGCTCTTCCAGCGATTTGATCCCTCCTGTGGCTGCGCCGTCGACACATGCCAGTGCTCCAGGCTGGCAGCCTCCTCCTTCTGCCCCTCCATTCGAGCCGCGCGGAGCCAGGTCTAGGGGCCGCAGCTCCAGCATGCTTAGTGACTTGAGCGGGTTCACGGAACCCAGCGATGAAGGCTCCGTCAAGTCACCGCCGATTATCCTTCGCCGGCCGGGACCAGGTCTTCTGGGACGGAACGGCACAAGTGGCGGTAGCAGCGCCAGTAGCGGCAGCGCCAGTTTTGGTGACCCAGCGAGTCCAAGATGATGACCTTGTAGGAATGCCCGGGCCCCTGCAATCTCTGTTCATGGGAGACTAAGCGGTCTAGATGAGAGCGTAAATATATGTGTTTTGGTTCTTCTGCATGCTCTTTTGTATAGTGCAGTGCGTAACAGTGACTGTGTGACGGCCGGGGGATGGAGACAGACGCGCCGGTTATATTTGCAGACATCTGTCCAGAGTATGTGGTCCCTAGTGGTTTGCCGGTTTGGATGTGACAGGATCAACTTGCAAGCTGACGGGACCTGGTTGATGGAGAGGTATTGGATCATATACGGCCAGGCCCCGCTGCGCATGAATATTGCGGTTCCATATCGCAACTCGAAACAGCGAGGCAATGCGGGCAACGACTGGAGGCGCATGGCTTTGTAATGTTGGCCCTCGTTAGATGCCTACATGTACCGACATACTCGGTGGGCGCGTAGGTCGCTAGGTGGGTAGTTGGAGTTGGAGTTGGTGCTGGCGCCGTCTTTGTTGACATTTGGACCGTGACGTCAATCTGGTCTTGTGCTGGTTTTCGTCTGGTCTGTTGTAGCGACTGACAGCTGGAGACGGACGGAGACCACCCAGACATGAAGACACCAGTGCAATGGCCCAATTCGGCAGCGATGCCTGGGCCCAACACACGGGCCTTGAGGACGCGGGCCAGGGTGCGCTAATGCTGCGCCAAGGGTCGCGACAGGCGACACCAAGCGTCACAGCACTGCATGTCCGTACTTTATGTAGACCGGATGGATTGCCCTGACCTGACAGATATTTTGGTGGACACGCCAGACGCACACGCACTTGAACCAGTCGACGACGCTTCACTGGACTCCCCGAAGTGGCTGGGGGTGTGAATTGACTTGATTCTTTGCTTCAGTGCTCCATCTACTCCATCTACTCCGTCTGCTCCGTCCGCTCCCGCTGGCCCCAATAGCTAAAGTAGTCGACACTTTGGAGCTTCAACCGTCGACCTCTCCGTCCTCGAACCCTGCACATCACCACCACCTAGTTACAGCACCGCGCGTCCCCTTCTGAGTATCTTGCTCTGCGTTTGTGCCCACCTGTCGACATCCTCTCCTGGGCATCATGTCGGCATTGCCATGGACTTTGTGAGCACCGCCCGAGCTTTCTTTCCCTCCCTTGCAGCAAAGGGCAACGCCCATCGGGATGAGCAAGTTGGAGAAGCTAACCCCCGAGCCTGTGCTTGGGTGCGTACTAGTGGTCGCGATTATTGAGTCCCCTGGCGGCGGGAAGCCCGAGAAAGGACCAGGCAAAGGACCCGGCCAAGCGACTGCATCGGTTCGAAAAGGAATACGCAAGCCTGCTGGTGAGGAAAAGATGGCCGCAATCTGCTGCCATGAGCTTCAGTTTGCTTTGCCTCGTGCGGGTGCATCAGAAACTGACCGTGGGACAGTCAACATGGCGCACGTCGTCCAACCTATCCCGTGATAGCGAAGCCGCCGAGACGCTCGAAATCCGCCTCCAAGAACTCACCAATATCCTCAGCGACGAGAGCCGACGTCCCCTCCCCCATCCCTGTATTCAGTATGCCTCCATCAAACAAATCTACGTCCCCATTGGCAAAATCGCCACCTCCTCATACAACGAATGGATCATCAAGGAAGCTGTCCTCTTCTTCGCGACGCTCATCGAAAGCGAGGAAGAGGCCTTTGTTGAGAACCCGACGTTTTCCGGTAGCCTGACCAATTTGCTCGTACGCATTACCGGAGTCAATAGTGTTCGACTCGGCCTGGATACCGAATCTCGCGTGGTTGAGCTGGCCTTCAACATCACGACCAAGATCCGTCTCGACCCCGCGATACTTCCCGCTTGGTTCAAGACGCCCCAGTCTTCGGCGAGCCAAAACAGCCTCCAGGATCTTGATGAGCGGGAGCGATTTGCTGGTCGAATGCAGCGAGTGGATTTCCCGCTGTTCTACATCCTCATGGATTATATCCACCACGAGGGCAAAGTGGGAGACTTTGCTCGAACGGGGCTGCTGTACATTATCGAGGCTGCGTCGAGCTCGGCGGCCTTGGAGCAATGGATCGTGGAGAGCGACTTGTCTACGCTCATGGCAACCGGTCTTGGGGCCCTGTACAGTCAGTTGAGCCGCAAGCTGGTCATTGACCACTTGTCTCATGATTTGCCGCCGATCCTGGCCCTGTCGGACTACGAGCACCCCACGTCCAATTACGAGATTATTAGTTCTTGCTCACCCGAGTTTCAGTCGCACCTGGAGACGTTTCTCTCCCATCTGCTGTTTTGGCAAGATGTCTTGAATCACTGTCGGTCGGTGGAGGTGAAGTCGACTTTGCTGGAACATTTCCAAGTCATCTTTCTTCAGCAATTGCTGTATGTTGTTGGGTTCTTTCTTTTTCTTTTCTGATGCCCAAGTTCTACGAGGATATTTTACTGACCCAAGCCTTTTCATATCCTTAGTTATCCTTCTCTGCTCGAGTCTTCTGATATTGACGGAGGCTCGTCTGTTGCCGTACTGACCTATCTGCGTCGGATCCTCGAATCCCTAGATCACCCTGACATGATACACCTCATTCTACACTATTTGCTGGCTCTACCGGATGCTGCGCCGCCTAATAAGAAGCCTCCACCATCACTCGTCAGTGACGCTCGCAGGCGAAAGTCAATGGACCTGACAAAGATGATGTCGGAGAAGGCAGAGGAGCCGGCAACGCCTCTTCTTTTCAACCTCGTTGACTTGATTCTGTCCTGCCTGCGGTCACGAAACCAACAGACCATCCACGTTACCCTGCAACTTGTCTCTGCCATTTTGAAGCGACACCATCGCTATGCAGTCTTTACCCTTTTGAGAACAGACGTCCTCCCTAGTCATACCAAGCACCGCACTGTCGGTGCCCACGAGCAAGAGGTCAACTATCTCGTCCACCTGGCCATCTCTATAGGCGGCAGAACCGACTTTGATGACATGTACGCCGGCATTCTTAAGGATACGTCGACTCGGCTGGAGAGCCATCCATGTTCACTAAGGTTGATTGCACCGAAAGTATCAACAAACAACCACAAATTACCGGACCTGCCAGATAGCCAGCCCGGAGCACCGCGGGACGTTCGGGAACACACTCTTCGTCCAGATGACCCACTGCTCAATATCATGTTGGATCTTTTGGGGACCTTCTTTGTCAACCCTGTGGAAACCAACTTGTCCGTCACCGAAACGATTGTTGACCTCGGCATCTGTGGATACATGAGCATCGAGGGCTGGCTGGCTCGCAACCCCAGTACCTACGTTTATACTGAGAGCGTCGAAGAGCTAGAGCGTGGCTATGAAACATCTGTAGCAAGCGAGTCTGCCGAGCCGCCGTCGCAGCTAATCGACAGCGCGTTGAGCGACTCTTTTGACGAGGCTCGGCGTATGAAGGACATGGAGCGATGCAGAACCGCCCCCGTGTGGAGGGAGGCTTCACTGCCGCGCGTCCTGAATGTGCTGAAGCGCCTTTGCGACCAAGTCGCCAAGTATAAGCAGACTATACCGAGGTTTGACGAGCTTCTCGAGCAGAGGCGGAACGCATTCCAAACGGCCGAGTCTATGCTGGACAACCCTCCGCCAGCCGTGCGCAAGGCGTCGCCAATACGATCAGGCACACCGGAGCGCTCTAGTCTGGATGAGACTTTACGCACCGGGTCTCCCCCACGACCTTCCGCTATAGAAGGATTCGCGCAGCGTCTCCTCTCCGAGTTGGGAACGCCAAGCAGGTCAGCGAGCCCCAAGGGACGCAAGGAGCAGAACCGAAGCTCTGCGACATCAACCTCTGGTGGCCAGCCTCCAGCACCAGAGTCCATCATGACTCCCAAAGCCATTCGCGTGCCCCCGAAAGAATTCCCCATCAACTACAATGACCCCAGCAAGAGTGGAACTCGGAGCTTCTCCCCTGGGAGTGTCAGGCCGGATATTGGCGCGTTATCCGAGGAGCGAGACATGATAGCCGAGAGCCAGGCGTCGGCCTTTGCAGCCATTGACCAGAGCATCCTGTCCAGGCGTGTGGGTTTGCCGGATGAAAAGATCAAGCCCATTCCGCTCGATCTGACCAAGAAGTCGGAAGCTACCGAGGTTGACGAGGCGGAGTCCCCCAAACAACAAGAGCACGGCAATGCCGCAGGAGCAGAGGCTATGCCGGATGCAGTTGAAGATGCTGCGGCCAGTGGCCAAACGCCAGAGGAGGTGACAGTATCTGTGTCTCACGTCCTGACCAATGTCATTATTTTCCAGAGCTTCCTGCTTGAACTGGCCAGCCTGTGGCAGACCCGGGCAGGGCTGTTTGACGAAGTATGCTATGCATAGCGATGGGAGGGGCTTTTTTTTTCGTTCTTCTTTTGATTTCAAAATACATCATCATAATTGGCGAGTTTGATTACCGTTGATGGGATAGAGAAATGGATTGCAGGGGTACAAGGGTGGACATTGATACTAGCATGGAGGGGGCGTGTTGCGCATGGTATGGTGGTAGACCCGTATGTAATTGACCTATATACCCCCATTTTGTGATTTCTGTCTTGTTTGCAAATAGCTGGTGCTGTGAAATTTTTACGCGTTGCCTTTTTTTTTCCCTTTTGCCGTGGTGCACTGGTGTGGGACATTTTTCATGGCCTGGATGCTAGTGGTATTGACTGGGTGGCATCGTTTTTTTTTGGCTGTCGAATGAATACACTCTGGGGCCTGTCGACTGTCGAGACATACATGACCCTTGGGTCTTGGCAGAATGAGGTAGCTACGAGGGCATACGTGTGAGGGCAAGGCTGGGCCAGGGGCTCTACGGATGGCGAGCTATTTACTGCGGCGGAACGACGCACGAGTTTGCTCGTGTTGGAAGTGCAGTTCGGGACGTGGCATTCGTGGTCGGACTGGGAGAAGAGGGATACAGATACGGAGCACCTGTTGGCGTGTGGTGTCAAGTCAAACCTTGGTCCCCAGCCGGCTTCTGCTGGTGGCGGCGGTGCTGGGCGGCTGCATCGTGGTCGGTTAG